TGATGGATGGATGGATGGATGGATAGATAGATAGATAATGGATGGATGGATGGATAATAGATCGATAGGTGGATGGATGATAGAAGGATAGATGGATGGATGGATGGATGGATGATAGATAGATAGATAGATAGATAGATAGGTAGATAGATAATGGATGGATGGATGGATAATAGATCGATAGGTGGATGGATGATATAAGGATAGATGGATGAATGGATGAATGGATGGATAGATAGATAGATAGATAATGGATGGATGGACAATAGATCGATAGGTGGATGGATGATAGAAGGATAGATGGATGGATGGATGATAGATAGATAGATAGATAGATAGATATATGGATAGATGATAGAAGAATGGATGGATGGATGGATGATAGAAGGATAGATGGATGGATGGATGATAGAACGATATGGATGGATGGATGGATGGATGATAGATCGATAGGTGGATGGATGATAGATGGATGGATGGATGGATGGATGATGGATTATAGATAGATGCATGCATGGATGGGTGGATGAATGTTAGATGGATAGGTGAATAGACGGATGGATAGAAAATAGATGGATGATTGGATAACGGATGGATGGATGGATAATAGCTGGATAGATGGGTAGATGGATGGATGGTAGATGGATAGGTGGATAGACAAATGGACGGATGGATGGACGGACGTACGGATTGATGGATGGATGGATGGATGGATAGATAGATAGATAATGGATGGATGGATGGATAATAGATCGATAGGTGGATGGATGATAGATAGATAGATGGATGGATGGATGATAGATAGATAGATAGATAGATAGATATATGGATAGATGATAGAAGAATGGATGGATGGATGGATGATAGAAGGATAGATGGATGGATGGATGATAGAACGATATGGATGGATGGATGGATGGATGATAGATCGATAGGTGGATGGATGATAGATGGATGGATGGATGGATGGATGATGGATTATAGATCGATAGGTGCATGGATGGGTGGATGAATGTTAGATGGATAGGTGAATAGACGGATGGATAGAAAATAGATGGATGATTGGATAACGGATGGATGGATGGATAATAGCTGGATAGATGGGTAGATGGATGGATGGTAGATGGATAGGTGGATAGACAAATGGACGGATGGATGGACGGACGTACGGATTGATGGATGGATGGATGGATGGATAGATAGATAGATAATGGATGCATGGATTGACAATAGATCGATAGGTGGATGGATGATAGAAGGATAGATGGATGGATGGATGGATAGAAAGAGAGATAGATAGATAGATAGATAATGGATGCATGGATTGACAATAGATCGATAGGTGGATGGATGATAGAAGGATAGATGGATGGATGGATGGATAGAAAGAGAGATAGATAGATAGATAGATAGATAGATAATGGATGGATGGATGGACAATAGATCGATAGGTGGATGGATGATAGAAGGATAGATGGATGGATGGATGGATAGATAGATAGATAGATAGATAGATAGATAGATATATGGATGGATGATAGAAGGATAGATGGATGGATGGATGATAGAAGGATAGATGGATGGATGGGTGGATGATGGATAGGTGGATAGGTGAATAGATACTGATCAATTCCTCCTACTGGCAAACCACTGAACATTTCGAAAGAGTTCTAATGTAATTGATGTAATTTACTGAAATCACATGACTTTGCTGGTTTGATACGCGCTCTGAATCACTGGTTCAAAACAAATAACTCACAAAGCTTCACAAAGCAAGCGCCCATCATTAGTGCTAAACCCCTCAAATACCATAAAAACAGACCGGCCTATCCACCTCGGACCGGTTTAAGCCGCCCTAAAGAGGGAATTGTGCTGCACTGTGCGTATGCAGTCGTATTTACCGTCCAGGTCATTCTCAGGCGTCTCGGCCGTGTGCCACTCGCTGCTGGGCCCCGTGCCATTGACCGTCATGGCTGCCACCTGGAAGCTGTACTGGCTGCCTTTCTCCAGTCCTGTCAGACAATAAACAAAGAGCCAGAGTCACAGTGTGCGCGTGTGTGTGTGATTATTATTTGCGATTCTAATTAGTAAACAGCAATCAGTCAAGGCGGCAAGGTAAACAAGGTCTCCAACCCTCATCTAAACAGATCAGGATGCATTTCCATCATGTGTAAAGATAAAAAAACGCAATTATGATAGTAGGGTGCTGTCATCCCTGAATACCCCGGAGTGTGGGGAATTAGCATAACACACTCCAGCGGCACTGTGAAATGAATCCCTTCAGAAATAGCAACTTAGTGAGATATCCATCAAGGGAATAATGGAAATGAATATGATTTTCCAATAAATTCAGAAACCCTATTCAAACAAACACACATCTACAGTCCCAAAGTCCCGGAGGACGACAAATCCGGCGTGATGCGTCAACTTCTTTAGCATGCATAGAATCCGGCTTTAAAGAAACAAAGCGTGCAGCGGAGGAGTGCATCGCATGAAAAACATGGGAATCTGTTCTTCCATTCAGATCAGGGCCTTAACCACCATAGACATTAGTTAATAATTAGAAAGGGCCAAAAGCAGCACTCTTTTTAGGATGACAGTCTGCCTCTACAGTCTTAAGGCCCGTTCACACCAAGCTATAAAGATAAAGATATAGTTCTAAAAATCATTCTTAATATTAAAGAATAGCAGAGTCCACACCACAGCTATAACGATAAAGAAAAAGAGAAATGATATAGTTGGAATCACTTTCAGAACGATTTTTTTCCAGCTGATGAACGATACAAACATTGACAGCCAATCAGAATCCATCCTGCTATAACGAGCTCGAGAATTTAAAGCGGCAGACGAGCGTGCGCTTAGAATTAACAGACGCTATCATCCGCTGGTGTGGACCATAGACTGTATAAAAACATGGACGTAGTGTCCGTGACGTCACCCGTAGTTTTCTGAAGAGCGTTTTTGAAGCTCAAAGTGGGCGGAGGCGGCCGTCGCCATCTTGGCAGCGCGTCACCGCGCGTCCCTCCCAGATAATCGAAAATGGGCAAAAAGGCAGGAGCTGGTTGCTGAAGCCACGCCCACCTAGCTCGATGGCAGTGTCAGCAGCGACAATCCACCTGTCACTCAAGTGGCCACGCCCTTAATTATGCAGAACTTTAAGGCTTAATATAATTTAAACGGATGAATTATAAAAAAATTCACCCAAAATTAAATAACTGCATATGTGCATCTCTCTCTACACACAATGAAGCTGTAAGTTTAGTTACTTCAGTATCAAACAGTGTTAATTTAATTGCCGAATCATGATTTTCATCATGATTTTCATCAACAACATTTTTTCACCGACGAATACGAGATGGCAATGTTCAAGACATGGTTACGGCCTTGATTCAGATGCATGTGATGGAAAACATCCAGCATCGTGTTGCGCAGACGGACTCACCGGTGAACAGGTACCAGAGGTTGTTGGGTTCGATGGCCTCCTGTTCCCCCCGCCGGCCCGTTTTGCGATGGCGGATCTTGTATCCGGTGATGAATCCGTTCTGTGTGTTTGCAGGTGGAGGCTGCCAGCTCACCTTAATGCTCTGAGACACAGACGAGAAAAAACACTGAGATCATCCAAACATCAGCACGACATCCGTTTATCGGCTAGAGCGTGTGAATATCGGTTAAATGCAAAATTACAAATAAACATGCGACCAAACAGAGTTTTTAAAGTTTCAGTTTTAAAATGTTTTTGAAGTCTCTTCTGTTCACTAAGGCTGCATTTATTTGATCAAAAATACAGTAAAAACAGTGAAATATTATTCTAATGTAAAACAGCTGTTTTCTATGTGAATCTCTGTTAAACTGTAATGTATTTCTGTGATGCGCAGCTGTATTTTCAGCATCATTACTCCAGTCTTCAGTGTCACATGATCTTCAGAAATCATTCTAATATGCTGATTTACTGCTCAAGAAACATTTCTGATTATTATCAATGTTGAACACAGTTGTGCTGCACAATATTTTTGTGGAAACTGAGCATTTTATTTTTCAGGATTCACAGATGAACAGAAAGTTCAAAAGAACAGCATTTATTTGAAATAGAAATCTTTTGAAACATTATGTCTTTCCTTTCACTTTTGATCAGTATAATGCATCCTTGATTAATAAAATAATTAATTTCTTTCCAAAGTAAAAAAAAAAGCATGTTAATTGCTGCTGCTAATTTTTATTACCTTTCAGACCTTTCCAGCCATCTGTATTCCTCATGGATGCTTATTAATTATGCAGGGAAAGGCATTTAATTGTTCAGTAAAGCAGAGGAAGAAATGCATTGATTTGACAGGGTCTTTAGTATGAGCATAACTTACTGACGAGAAACATCAGCGGGTCAACTCAACCTTTACTAGAACTAGTACTGCTGTCTCTCTCTCTCACCCCAAAGCATCCAAACTCCCAAACACAGATTCATTAACCTTCACAAACAGCCCTGAAACAGATATAAACTGCACGGCGCAGGAATGCCATCATACGCTCAGTGGCATCGTGAGTCTGAGCTCGTGCCATCTGCCCGTTAACATGCAAATAAAGCAATTAAAATTCACAGCACACCGCTGCCAACGTGACACGTCCATCCCGCTTCAGCCTCATAACAGTGACCGGCCAATCCTGCGGCCAGCGGCACACGCTGCATTCATTAACATTCACTGGCACTCGTTCCTGGGTTTGGAGACTAATCTAAATTGATTACAGCTCGTGTGTGTG